GGGGGGGGGGGGGGGGCAAAGGTTAGAGGATCACAGGAGTGGCAGGGAAAGCAGGCAGCCCGCCAGCTGCTTGTGTCAAGGCGAGGACGGATGGCTATTTGAATAGCGAGTGGGGGGGGGGCGGTGGAATGCGTGGCCGCGCGGCCCTCTCCTCCTTGACCGTGGGGCAGGTGGCCTCTGCCGTGCTTGGAGGGCGCGCTGCCCTGGCCGCAGCCCGCTTTCCTCTGGCTGCCCCTTGCGGTGCCCGGCGGGCAGCGGGAGGGCGCAGTGGCCCTCGTGGTCGCCCGGTGCGCGGAGGCGATGCGGCACCCTGTCCTCGGGAGGGGGTGCTGCCGAGGCGTGCCCAGCGCTCCGGAGGAGCCTTGTGGGGCGCTCCCCCCCCCCGGTTTGCACTCTCTGTTCCGCTGCCGTGCAGTGACCCCGGCCCAGAGTTTTTGCCTTGCTTCACCAGCGCTTTCGAAGGGGAATTGTTCAGCGCATTGCAAAGCAATCCTTACAGATCCCTTAAAGAAATTAAAGCAGTTGAAAAACAGAACAAAAACCAGCCAGATTCTGGCAACAGCTTGAGGCCTGTGGAAAGGCCTTCCCTCTGGCTCTACCCCCCAAAAGGGGGGCATCTCCCTCCATTTTCTCCTTCATTGCTGGCATGGCTCCAGGGCTTCCGGTCCAGTTTGCAGGACCCTCACTCAAGTCCTTGGTGTGCTGCCCTTCCCACTTGGGGTGCAATGGTGGGCTTCACATTGCCCCCCAGTTCCGGCCAAGCTGAGACCCCCCCCCCAGCAAGGCCCTGGCCCCCTCCGCAGAGACAGGTGTTTGCATCCTGGTCCCCTGCCAGAGCCACGCCGTGTGCCCGAGAACCTCGCATCCCTCTGGAGGCCTCCGTTGCTGCCCCGCGGGCAGAAGGGCCCGGGCCGGTCCTCGGCCGCCTCTCCGGCTGACGGCGTCAGGAGACCAAAGGGCCCACCTGCCACTGATCCGAGCTGGTGCGCGGCTGCCTGGGTGTCTGCAGGGGCCGCAGCTGCCTTCGCCAGCCCGGCGCCTTCCCATGTGCGGGACCTGCCTTTGGCCAGCACTGCCGGGCATTGCCGTGCGACCCCTTGGTGGGCACCAGGCTGGGGAAGGTGCCGCACGTGGCCGGGGAGGCAGCACGGGCGATGGCCACGGGGCTGGGAGGAGCCCCCAGTGGCGCTGCCTGAGCAGAGGCGCCCCTCAGGGCCGGAAAGGGGAGCCTGGCTGGAGCTGGGGGTCGGGGGGCTGGCCGCCCCCCCCCCCCCCGGCATCCTGCCCGGCGTGTGTCTTGGCTGAACGTGCTTCCGTCCTCCCGGTGCTGCAGAGCAGGGGGGCCCGGAGCTGCTCCAGGAGTTCTCCTTTCTTTCCACCTTTGGCAGCCCAGGGTGGCTCACCAAGCACAGTCCAGAAACTGATCCAGAGCCGGGGGACTTTGGCCCCCAGCCCTTGACCCCGGGGGCTCAGCCTCAGCCTGTGCGACGCCTCCCGGCGTGTTGGTGAGCAGTCTCCCAGAGGCCTGCAGCTGGACGGAGGCCTGGAGGCAGCCTTCCCTTGGGGGAGTCTGCTGGTGCCTCCAGCCCAGTATTGGCCACACTGACTGGCAGCAGTGGCGCTCTGGGGGCGCTTTCCTCGCCCTGCCTGGAGGTGTTGCCAGGATGGAGCCCGGGCCTTCTGCTACAGTGGTGCGGCCAGTTAGCAGTTTCTTTGTTTGGCTGCTGCAGACAAAATATTCCGGCCCCTTCTTGTAAGGTGTGGGAGACGAGGGCTGATTACGCGAGAAGTGCAGAGTTTATTGTGTTTAGCATTGATTTGCATGCATTTATTTATTTATAAATGCATAACTGGACGTTATGTTCACATGACTCCAGTTCTCCGTCAGCTTCACTGGCTTCCCATTGAAGTCCGGGCCCAATTCAAGGTGTTGGTTATGACCTATAAAGCCCTAAACGGCTTGGGTCCTGGTTACCTGAAGGAGCGCTTACATCCTTATATGCCCAGCCGCCCCCTGAGATCGGCGGGAGAGGCCCTTCTCCGGGAGCCCTCCATGGAAGAAGTTAGGAGGGTGGTTACTCGGAGGAGGGCTTTCTCAGCGGTGGCGCCTAAGTTATGGAATGCGCTCCCCAGAGAGGTCCGCCTGGCGCCGTCGTTATTTGTTTTTCGGCGCCAGGCAAAGACCTTTTTATTTAAGCAGTATTTTAAATGTTAATATTATTGAATTTTATTTGGCCAGGGCGGCTTGTTTTATAGTGTATATTTGTATTTTATTGTATATATTTTAAAATGTTATTTTAAATTTTTTGTTGTAAGCCGCCCCGAGGCTTCGGCGAATGGGGCGGCATAAAAATGTTTTAATAAATAAATAAATAAATAAATAAATAAATAAATAAATAAATAAATAAATAAATAAATAAATGCCGGCAATGAAAAAAATGCTTTCGTAGCACACCTGGCTCCCGTCCGGGCTCTAACCCGGTGGGGACCTGCCCTCGCACCACGGCCTGGGTGAGCTGGGACGGAGCGTACGGCACCGGGTGGGATCCTGGTGCCCCGGCCGAATTCTCGGGGCAAGAGGAGCCAGGGACTGCCCTCTTCGGATGGTGTTGCCCTTGCCCGGGGCGAGGCCGCCTGATTTCGGAAGACCCCCGGATCGCGTTCCCAGCGGGAGGGAGGGTCGTCCCCCCCCCACTGACACTGTCCCTCCTTTTGCTCTCGCTTCAGCCGCAGTACACCAACCTGGGGCTGCTGAATGGCATGGACCAGCAGATCCAGAACGGCTCCTCGTCCACGAGCCCGTACAACACAGAGCACGCGCAGAACAGCGTGACGGCGCCCTCGCCCTACGCCCAGCCCAGCTCCACCTTCGACGCGCTGTCGCCCTCCCCAGCCATCCCCTCCAACACGGACTACCCCGGGCCCCACAGCTTCGACGTCTCCTTCCAGCAGTCCAGCACCGCCAAGTCCGCCACATGGACGGTAAGTCGGCTTCTGGCTCGAGGGCCGGGAAACGCCGGTCCGCGCGCATCGGGGGCGGGGGGGCACTGTCGTCCCATCGGGCAGGCAAGGGGTGGAAAGGATGCGGCTGTTTCTCATCCGTGCCGTTTGTTGCCGCTGCGGGAGAGCCTGGTCCCGAGTCAACCAACGCAGGGGACCCATTTCTAGAAGCTAAGACACACACAAACAGCGCGAGTCAGAAGGGGCTTCCTGGGCCATCTAGTCTGACCCCCGGCTCCAGCTGGCTCCACTCATGACATGCCTAGAAGCCCCAGTCACTTTCCAAAGTCCGTTTGCAGCCAGCTAGGGGTCATCAAACGCTCAAGGCAGGCAGAGGTCCTGCAGGCACCGTCCCCGGGTGTGGGGTCCTGAGGGTGTCGGATGGCGTCCTTGGATGGGGCACTGCCAGAGGAGGGTGTTATCCTGCCCTCGCGCTGCGCCAAGCGTGGGTTTTCATGGGGCAGGCCTTCTGCTCGCCTCCCCCTGCAGTTCCCCACTGCTTCTCCCACCGTTTCTCTTTCTGGATTAAGAATGAAATGCAAGAGGGAGACCCTCCGCTGGGGGCAGGAGAGATTGGTGGACCTGCTAGGAAGCCTTCCTCTGGAGGAGCGCCTGGGGCAGGCTGCCTGAAGGGACGGGGGCTCTGAGGTGTGTGTCCCAGCGCATGCAGACTCTCCTCCGGCCAGCAGACACAGTGCAGAGCTCTCTGTGTCCCCCCATTTCCCTTGTTTTTCTCTCAGACATCTCTTGGCTTTGTTTTCCTGCCCGACTGGCACCTTCCTCCTTCGCCTGCATTCTGGCTGTGAAAACTGCCGGCTGGTTGCTTAAGCGCCTCCCCGTGAGGGCCGAGAGCTGGTATGCAGTGGCATCCGGACTGCGGCCAATGGCCGGCCCGGCTGGCGGGATCTGGCCAGGAGGGCCCCCGCAGGCGGCGTGGGCCCCTGTCCGGATGGCCATCCCTGTGGCACACCGGAGCGGCCGAGTCGTGACGCCGGGGCTCATGGGGACGAAGCACCTGCACCTTTTGATCGGCAGAGATGCGTATGTTGTAGCATCACTGCTGTTACTTCCATTCCTGTGCCGCTTCACGGCCAGAGCTCTCGGCAGCGGCCCACCCACCCTACAAACACCCGCGCCTCCTCTTGACTTAGCCACAGCCCCATGGGAGTCGGGGAGAATTCCGTTTCCCAGGAACAGCTTGTGAGGGTGAGCCATTCCTGCTTTAGTGCACATATTTCAGGGTGACTCAGGCTCCACGTCCATCAGCTTGAGCAGAACTCGCTCCCGACACCGAGGAAAATGGCTCAAACTGAGTTGTCGATGTAGACGAACAGAACTGTCTGCATCTCTGGGTGGTGGCTGGGGCACGGCCACGGAGGCAGCTTCACTCTCTCCGCTTCTGATGCGGCTACCAGTTGGCCAGGTTAGTGGCCGTTAGTGGCCAGGAGCCCCGTTCCAGCTGGCCTGCATTCTTAACCGGCTGCGGGCCAAGGTGCCCCTCCGCTGGGACTGGGGTGGGGCTGTTGAGGCTCCCCTGGACCGACAGGGCCGTCTCGGTCGCCTTCCAGCCGCTTTCGGAGTTGCCTTAATTGGCCCGGAGTCAGCGGGCATCAAGATCTCATGACCGGGCAGCCGAGGTGGGCGGCTCTTCCTTTCGTCTCGTGTGACCGCAGGGCGCTCTGACGAAGCGCTGTCACCCCTTTCTCCTAATGACAGCTCAGGAACCGCCCCAGCTGGAAGGGCCCGTCGGTTACAGTGACCTGCTAAAAGTTTAATCGCGAGGTGCCACACCCTGGCGAAGAATCCCCGCCTCGGACAGGGCTCTTCCCGCTCTCCCTGTTCTCCCCGAAGGCGGCCATCCTGGAGGCAAGGGGGCTCGCCTGTGGTGGACCCCTTCCGTCCCGGGTCCTTCCCCGAACGAGCCGGCAGGGCTTGTCCCCTGCCCGTCTGGGAATCACAGCGTCCCTGGGCTGCTGGAATGGCTTGTTCTTGGCAGGCAACAAAAAGCCCGGGGAAACTGATCCTGGGAGAAGGCTGAGTCACCGTGCGCTCCCAGGATTCAGATGCAAATAGAGCATATTATCCCAAATTCGGGAGGTGCGGCCTGGGTTTCCCATAGTGTGGTCCAGCGCAGGCTCTCTCGGTGTGGGAATGCTTTCTTCGCACTCGGTGGGGCGGATGCGGCACTGCCAATTGCGCGCTTTCTTTCCAAACAAAGTAGAAGGCGAGCAGTTAAGTTACAGCAGGGCCTTTTTTACCACCCGTTACTTGCTGTTTCCCTCCAACGCCTTATTGAGATCTCACTGTTTGAAATCCTGGGGCGTTCACTCATCGAGGCAGAGCTCCCAGCGCAGAACAGGGCCATCTCCCTTCCTCTCCTTCAAAATGCCGACCCTGCAGTAGGGGACAGCCCGAGAGGGGCTTGAGAGAGGCGCGCTCCTGGTGGTGGGTCGGGGAATAGGGGTGCTCCGGAGTTACGACTGGCTGCTCCCAGAGAGAGGGGATTACATAATCTTGAACAGCTGGAGCGGAGAAGATGCTACTCCGGAGAAGGGCCCGACCCACCAGTCGGAGAGCAGGGAGCAAGCACCGCGTGGCAGAGCGGAGTCCGGCCAGGCCCTCCGCGCCTTGAATAGATGATGCTGTTTACCCTGCAACACTTCAGTGTGAGGTCTTTCCCAGGTGGAGCGAGCCCGTAATCTGTTCCAAACAGGGTGTCGTCACTTTCTTGTGGGATCCTGGGACTTGCTGGATTCCCAAACGCGAGGGTTGGCGTCGCCGCCTCCCTCCTCCTGCGTCCGTCCGTCCGTCCTTCCGCTCCCCCCCCCCGGAGTTGAAGAAAAGGAGGCATCTCCAAGGTGCGGTGCCTGTTTTCTCCACCCCAGGAAAGTTGCGCATGCAGCTCTTCTCGCACCCTGCCCAGCCGAGCAGGGGAAGGTGCAGGAGTTTCCAGGGAACGGGATGTGGCAAGGAAAAGTACAGGAGGAGGGGAGGAGCCGCACGTTCTGCGGAACAGTCGCCTTTTTCCATCCCTTCCCTCTCACCCCGTGCCCAAAGCTTGCTTCTGCAGCGCCAAAAGCAAGCACTGATTTTTTAGCGTCCTTTGATAGTCCGAAGTGCAGTGCTGAAATGCATCGATGCAAAAATACAACAAGCAAAAATGCAAACAAAGAGAAAACGCTAATCACAAGCAATGCACCCTCCCCACCGGGCTCTTGGCTACATAAGTAATGATTCATTTCCTCCTCCTCCCTTGCTGCCGCTTCTGTGCTGCCCCCCCTTTTGGGGCTGCCCCCGTCCATTTTAAATGGCATTAAATCACACACAGGTGTGGTTTTATTAAAGCACATTCATTAAACAATTCCAAATATCAGCGGCATCATTCCTATTTGTCAGTCTTTTCTCTATACCATTCACTTAACTGAAAATCTCATTTCTTCTTCTAATTTTTTGCCTTTATTTATTTTGCTTCATTATTGCTTTTCATAAAATGCTGACAACAAGGCAATTTCAGGGTCTGCTTCAGTATCTGAATTCAATATCTTGCTAATTCCCTTAAAAACCATTGTTCAAAATTTCCTAAATTTTTTGCATTCACACCTCATGGAAATTAAGTACCCAGTTTTGACCACTTCTCCAGCCTCAATTGTAGCATTTATTGTTCACGTAGTATAGTTTTATCAGTATCCGGTACCATCTCCATATTACTTTATAAATATGTTCCTTAATCTAATTAATATGTTTAGTATTCTCTTATTCCATATTGTCCCCATTCTTCCTTAGCCATGTCTCTCTCTAAATCTATTTCCCATTAAACCTTGAGAAAATCATATTGGTTCTCCCTTAGTAAAATCTTACAAACCTCACATTTATCCCTCTTGTTTGCACAATATCTTCTTTTTCCCTATATAAAACAATCTTTTCGAATTTACTAAGATCTCTGCATTTACCATTTTCCTCATCCATGCCTTAGTCCATTGATCTAATTGAATAATATTAAACCAGGTTAATTTAAATCTAGTACTGCCTTTATCCTTCCCTTGTTATCAATTTTCTCCAATCAATCTTTTAACGTAAAACTTTGTTTCTCCTTCAATACTTTTTCTGAAATTATGTCTCAGTTTTTCTGAAAATCCTTCCATTTCTGTAACTGGAAGTAGTGATGAGATTGTTGGCATAAGCCTTGCCAATACTTATCCCAAATTTGCACCATATTTTTTAAGACAAGGGCTTTTCTATTCTTATAATCTTTTTGTCCTGTTTAAAATCGAGGTTTAGGAGGCATCCCTCAATTTACTGGTGCTCTAATTCCACCTAAATTATCTTTTCAGACTGCAGTGTAAAGTCTGGTATATAACTCATTTGATTCACTACATAATATAATTTAATATTCAGAACACCCAATCCTCTGACTTTTTGTGATTTATGCCATCTTTGCTTGCTAATCATCGCTTTCTCATCCCCATGACAAAATTTATTAACCATGAATTACAAGCTGGCCATGAGAACTTTCCAGCTGAATTTTGGGGTGCACAGAGGGAAGAAGGGCCAACCCCCTTGCAGCTTGGTATGGAAGGGGCTTTCATGGGGGGGTGGTCGAGGCCCCCTCGGTGCGGGGGTTCAAGGACAGGCTGGACGTGCACCTGGCAGGCCTGTCATGAGTGGAGCTGGCTGGAGCCGGGGGTCAGACTAGATGGCCGGGGAACCCCCTTCTGACTCGCGCTGGCTCTGTGTTTCCATGTCCTGTGCTTGGGGGCTGAACCCCCTTGTCACTGTGCAGAGCTGCTCTTGGCCACTTGCATTTTCTTTTCCCAGAATGTCCTAGAGGAAGCAGTTTGGGGACTGAATTCCACTCCCAGGGGCTTCTGGGAAGAAATGGACTGGGACTGGGGCGCAACTCCCTTCTTCTTGAAAGGAAATGGACGGCAGCCCTCCGGAGTTCTGGGCAGCATCCCAGAGCTTGTTCCTTCCCGAGTGGAGAC